AGAGATAAAAGGTATGGGGGGAGGGGATCACTATGGTTATTATCATTATTACTATTATTATTATTATTTGAGACAGGGTCTCGCTCTGTCCCTGAGGCTGGAGTGCAGTGATGCAATCATAGCTCACTACAGTCGTGACATCCTGGGCTCAAGCAATCCTCCCACCTCGGCTCCCAGTAACTGGACTAGAGGTGTGCACCACTATACCTGGCTAATTTTTGTACTTTTTGTAGAGACTGGGTTTTACCATTTCACTCAGGCTGGTCTCGAACTCCGGAGCTCAAGTGATCCACCAGCGTCAGCCTGCCAAAATGCTGAGGTTATAGGAGTGAGCCACCATGCCCAGCTCCTACTATGTTTTTAATTGTCTGGACAGGAAGCAATGAGACTAACTGGGAGTCACTGTAATATTCCAGATGAGAGATGACGAAAGTTTGACTAGGGTAGTGGTGGCAGAGATGGAGAGATGTGAACTGAGCTCAAAAGACACTTAGGAGGTAGAATGGACAAGATTTGGTGACTGGTTGTAGAAAATAAGACAGAGAGCAGAGCGAGATGGTCTCTAGGTTTCCGGTTTGGCATCTGGGTGGATGGTGCCACATTCATACAGCAGGAGGTGACAGGAGTGGAGCTAGATGTGATGGCTCATTGAATTGGCATGGCTAGTGACACCCAAGAGGAGCCGCCAATGGGCAGTTGGATATCTACTGGTGGGCCTGGAGCTCAGGAGAAAGAGTTGGCCAGAGGTGATCTGAGGAGATCTCTGACTCCAGATGTGGAGATGTTCACCCCGGGAGATGGTATGAGGATGTTCACCCTGGGAGATGGTGGCAAGTCTTGTGTCTAGAAGAGAACTTAGAAAAACACTGACATTTACAGAAACCTAGAAATGGGATGAAGATGAAGAGGGCTTGGTTCTAGGTCCGGTAAGGATGAATCATTAACTTACTAACTCTTCTATATGAAAGTGTCCATCCCTCTTTCTTTTCCTGAGAGGAAAAAGCATGAACACCTTAACTGCTAAAATGGAGAGATCCATGAAGGAGTAGAGTGAGGAGGACCCCAGAGACAGATTCCTACCACACTGTCCTCCAGCCAGAACCAGCAATTGTAATTCAACACTGTGCCAAGAAGACACTGCATTGCCAAATGGGCTGACTCCCAGGTAAGCCACACTCCTCATTTATTGGCATATTTGGCATTCACGCTCGCTAAGTCGCATGGACAAGATGAGCTGGCAAGATTAGGGATGGCTTCATTAGGTATATCTGAGTTCCTAAGAGGGGGTGTGATGTGCGATGACAGTAAGCTTTAGCTTGTTTAGTGTAGGTGAAATACCCAATCGTAGATCGTGTGTTTGAAGGCATATCCTAAAGTATATGGCAGGATATAAACATTAGTTATAGCTATTATGACACTTTATGTAAAGCAGAGACACCAACCATTTGTTTGATTAAATGAAGGGTCATCTTAATCTGGCTGCATAATTCATTGGATCATCATTGAGACAGAGGGAGGGAGAAGGCATGAGAGAGGGGGAACGAAAAGAACTGAGGGTCTTCTAAGTGCCCACCCTGTCCCAGGCATGCAAAACCGTATTCTCTAGTTTACTTTCTACAGCCATTATGTGAAGCAGGCTCCATTATTTCTGTTTGACCCAAGAAGGGCCTGAGGCCCAGAGCCCCACAGTAAGGGATACATAAAAATGACCGCCAGGCCTTCCAACACCAAGCCTGCGTTTTTCCACTGTTGCATAAGCAATTTTGCTTTCAAATAGTTCCGTTTGAACTTTAAAATACTTTTGAACCTACTCTGAATTACATTAAACCTTTTTAATACCTTCCTGAAGCCTGGAAGGAAATTGTACCAGGGAAGTACAGTGGAGATGGCGGGAGACTGATAAGTTATTATGAGGCAAACATCACTGTCCCCAACGATAATCAATCTATTGCAATCTCTGTGAAGTCCCAGGAGACTTCCCTCCCTCAGGCAAATGCAGCCTCCCAAAAGGTCACATTGCAATCGCGGGTGAGGAAAATGTCAGGCTGCTGCTAACACTGTGCTAAATCGTTTTTGCAGAGAATGCCCAAGACTGCTGGAGAGCCAATGTGTGCCTCTCAGATAGTCATACACCTGTCTTTAGTAGATTGTACAGAACACTGGCTGGAGCTGCATTTGTTCTTGAAGACTCATTTGACAGCAAATGATATGTGAGTCTACCCAGGGTTTCTAGGAGATCAGTTAAAATCAAGATAGAGCACAAATTGCAAAAAGTCATTAAATGGGTGCCCTTGGAGTCTCCTCAGATGATAAATGGGAATAAGAGATTTCACAGTACAGGCTGGATTCTCTTTATATTCTCCCTTCCTATTTATTTGTGATTATTGTTACCACAATTGACTTTCATCTCCTCGTTTCCACCTCACTTGATTTTTGTACCATAGGGTTTGTCCTGACAGCCCTATCTTTTCATTCTTCCTTTTCAATCTTGCATGACAACCTGTGATTTTGCAAATTCACGTTTTTTTTTTTGGTTTTTGGTTTTTTTTTTTGAGACGGAGTCTCGCTCTGTCGCCCAGGCTGGAGTGCAGTGGCGCGATCTCGGCTCACTGCAAGCTCCCCCTCCCGGGTTCACGCCATTCTCCTGCCTCAGCCTCCTGAGTAGCTGGGACTACAGGCGCCCGCCACCACACCTGGCTAATTTTTTTGTATTTTTAGTAGAGACGGGGTTTCACCATGGTCTCGATCTCCTGACCTTGTGATCCGCCCACCTCAGCCTCCCAAAGTGCTGGGATTACAGGCGTGAGCCACCGCGCCCGGCCATTCACGCTTTTTAAAGTGCCTGATATCCACGAATCTGCCCTCTATCTCTGTATCCAAGGCCCAGGCTGTTTTCAGGTCAGTATCTTGGATCAAGCTTAGATGGCTTGGCCTTAGCATAGGAGATTCAGTGGCTGCTACAATCTCAGCAATCATAAAAGTTAAAAAACAACAACAACAAAAGAACGCATAAAGTCACCCTTGGAGCACATCAGGGATGGAGGTTTTAGAAGGTAGAAAGGCAGTCTCTCAGCGGAAAGAAGGCAGGACTGAATGTCAAATAACAGAGCGCTTCTATTTCAGCTGCCTCCAGATGGCTGTCTCTGTGTGGACATGTATCACAGGCCTTGTTCTCAATGGGCAGGGACAGCCCTTGTCCTCCGCCTCCCCAGCTCCCTCTCCCCCACTTCTAGGACAGTTTATGTTTCTCCTCTTACCAAATGTATCTTCTTTTTAAAGCGCTCTCATTTCCATATGATAATAATTCCCTAACATCTGTCCCAAGGAGTCTATCAGTGGTCAAGGCTAATGTCAGAGGATGTGTCTTTGTGAGTTTATGATCATTTAAAGTTTGCTAATTCAAAGATTAGATTAGTTTTTTTTTTTTTTTTTTGAGATAAAGTCTCACACTGTGGCCTGGGCTGGTGTTCAGTGGCACAATCTCCACCCACCGCAAGCTCCACCTCCCGGGTTCAAATGATTCTCCTGCCTCAGCCTCCCGAGTAGCTGGGACTGCAGGTGCGCGCTACCATGCCCTGCTAATTTTTGTATTTTTAGTAGAGACGGGGTTTCACTATGTTGGCCAGGCTGGTCTCGAACTCCTGACCTCGTGATCCGCCCGCCTCAGGCTCCCAAAATGCTGGGATTACAGGCATGAGCCACCGCACCCGGCCAGATTAGATTAGTTTTTTAAGCCCATAATTAAGAAAAAAAAAAATCAGAATTTCAGAGAAACCAGTAAGTAACATCCCTTTCCTTGTCTGGGTACGCGATGACACGGGAGACAGACACAGGAGACAGACATACGGAGATCAAAATATCATCCTCGTTACAGATAAATGCGAAGTCAGAGAAGAGGGGTTGGGGAAAACCAGTGGGCTGCTAATCCTGAAACCTGGGTGGGGTTCGCCCACCTGTTACGGGCTTCACTGGCAAAGTACAGGCCTGCCTCACGTGGGTCTGAAGAAGTCTTCCCCTTCCCAGGAGAGGCGGGGGTAAAGACAAGAGATCAGGGAGGGCAAAGGAGGAGGCCACAAGTGTATCCTTGCAGTAAACGGAGAGGGTGCTCACAAAAGCGCATGGAGGTATACCAAGAACTAACAAAATACAGAACCACATAGCTGAATCTGGTTAACATTACTGCAGGGGCTCTCAACTCTTCTCAGGCCAGGTTTATAAAAACATCAGCTATCTAAAAAATACCCTTAACCTTGGAAGAAATAAAAAAGAAAGGCGCTTGAAACAGTGAAAACCTGGAATGAGTATAAATATGGGCAACTGGATGATGAAGGATTCACTAACCGAGTTAGAGGAGAGAGGCTGAAGGAGCTGGGCAGCTTTCTCTAAGAAAGCAGAGGCCAGATGGCTGCCTCCCAATAGGTGAAGATGCCTGGAAGACATCGTCATGCTCAATTTCTGTGGCTAGAAGTGGGACTACTAGGGGATGGTTACAAGGACACAGACTTCAGGTCAATGTATAAAATGGGATCACTGGAAAAAGAATACACTTCCTATTCCAGAAAAAGATTGTGCTGAGACTAAGTGACCGCTCTCAGGAATGCTGCAGAAGGTTCCACTGAGCCATGGGGGTGGTTGGACTAGAGTAGTCATTCTCAAACTTTTTGGTTTTGGGACCTCTTTACACTCTTAATTATTGAGAAGCCCAAAGAGCCTCTTACTTATCTATACTTACCATATTCAAAATTAAAACTGATTTTTTTTTTTTTTTTTTTTTTGAGACAGAGGCTTACTCTGTCACCCAGGCTGGAGTGCAGTGGCGTGATCTCGGCTCATTGCAACCTCTGCCTCCCGGGTTCAAGCGATTCTCATGCCTCAGTCTCCTGAGTAGCTGGGATGACAGCCATGCACCACCATGCCCGGCTAATTTTTGTATTTTTAGTAGAGACAGAGTTTCACCATGTTGGCCAGGCTGGTCTTAAACTCCTGGCCTTATGTGATCCGCCCGCCTTGGCCTCCCAAAGTGCTGGCATTACAGGCGTGAGCCACCATGCCTGGCCCAAAACTGCGATATTTAATTAAAGTATTTGTGAATTCATTTAAAGCAATAAAATATCTTGAATATCTGGTTCAACAGAAGCCAAGTATATTCTCATCTCTCCTTCCGCATTCCATCTGTTGTTTTAGCTGAAGTGCATGAAAAAATCCATCCGTACTAGCTATGTAGTTGGTATAGGCAAGAGTATTTTAGATACTCCTTTCCAGATAATTGCGGATATTCTTTGATACTACACCAAAGCTTAAAAGTGGTAATTTCTTAAATGTTACTTGGAATGAGAAATTTCAAACTGTGTCAATAATTTTTCATATGTCACATTAAATCCATAAACCCACCTCACACTTTGAATAGATCTTTTACCCATTCACGATTTGGTAACATCATGCTTAGTATTATCATAAGAATAGCTCAGTTTTGCAGATCCCTAAGGGTCTGTGCATCTCTGTGGGGGGCTGCAGATCTTTCTTTGAGGGTCACTGTCAAAGAGCCTTCATGGGGCTCCAGGAGTTCACTCTGCAGGAGAGGCAGAGCTAATGTCAGGTTTATTGCAAGGAAGAGAGACGCACTCAAACTCAAACTAGCTCAAGAGACATGGGAGTTAGCTGAAGTTTACTCCAGAGAAGCTCTTAGAATTCAGGGACATGAAAAATAGGCCGCCCTAGGCTGGAACTGAACTCAGGATTGAAGCTACTCCCTTACCTTGAATGAAATCACGTGGCTTGTCTTCTCTGCCCGCATCTGTTTCATTCTTCTGCATCTCTCCTGGCAAAGTGGTGGCTTCTCCACGCCACCGTAGCTCTGCAGTCAAGGTGGCTTTGATTTACTCAATTCTAGGAGACCTCGGGTCAAGCAATCATCTTCTCTCAGTAGCTCATGTTCTTGATTCCAAACTCCTGAGAGAGAGAATCTGATTAGCTCAACCTGATTCGTGACTGAGCCATGGGTCAACCCCTAGTCCCACTACACTGGGTTACCAGGTACAAACATGGCCCCCAACAGACAACTCAAGATGTGTCTCCTCTATGAGGCCTTTGAATTGTGTGTAAAATAAAGTAAAAGCTGAAAATGTAGGAAGACAGAGAAAGCAATAAAAAGTGACATGTTATAGCAGAAATAGAAGAGAGGAAAAATCCAGTAGTGTTTAGCACGGCTATCTTGTGTTAATTAACATTTAGTGGTAGCAATAATAATAGATGGTGTTTATGGAGAGCCTATTTTGTGGCAGGCATTAAACTTGGAACACATTTTCCTCATTAAAAGTGAAAAATAACCCAAATCGTAGGCTCTATTTTTATCCCTAATTTAGCACAACAGTTAAGAGTCTGGGTTCTTGGGCCAAACCATTGGATTTTGTGTAGTTGGATGACTTTGGATGAGTTCTTCAACTTTTCTTTGGCTCATTTCTTTCACTCTTTTTCTCAGGGTGAAATACCCTCTGATGAAAAGAAAGTGGAGTGTAAGTGGTGGGGCCGAGGGCAGACAGTCTAGATTTCCTACCTGACTCTCAAATGCAGACAGTAAAGATCAGAGGAGAGCGAGAGGGAAACCTGTGCTTGTTATGGACACAGTACGTTAGAGCAGATCGGAGCTCTGGCCAAGGCTATTGGGTTCAAATCCCAGCCGTGCCATTTTCTAGCAACTGACCTTGGGCAAGTTTCTTAAAAACTGTTGGCCGGGTGCCGTGGCTCACGCCTGTAATCCCAACACTTTGGGAGGCCGAGGCAGGCGGATTGCCTGAGTTCAGGAGTTCGTGACCAGACTAGGCAACATGGTGAAACCCCGTCTCTACTAAAAAAAAATTTTAAAAAATTAGCCGGGCATGGCAGTGTGTGCCGCCTGTAGTCCTAGCTACATGGGAGGCTGAGGCAGGAGACTTGCTTGAACCCAGAAAGTGGAGGTTGCAGTGAGCCAAGATCGCGCCACGGCACTCCAGCCTGGGTGACAGAGCGAGACTCTGTCTCAAACAAACAAACAAACAAACAAACAAAAAACTGTTTCCTCATCCACAAAATGAGGGAAATTGGCCTTCCTCATGGAGTTTCTGGGAGATGACATGAAGTGACAGAAGTGACATCAATTTCACATCTATGTCTGCTGCTAGTGAGGGTGACCTGTGATCAGAGCTTTCTGTGATCAAAGCAAGGCTGGTGCACACGCCACAGCGGTGCTCATCCAGTCTCAAAGTGCACTGGAATATGACACACACCTCCTTCTCTCTCACACTTTTCTTCCCCAGGTACAAGAGCCTTGACATTCTAAGACCTGTTTCAAATGTCAATTGAAAAGCATAAAGCCTATAAAATACTACATGTTATTAAACGGAAATGCTGCCTAAATATGAACTTTAACTGCAAGAGCTTTTCTATTTCCCTTTTAATAGACAATTTCTAATGCTGTTCCCCTTGGTGCTCCTCAGAAAGAAGCCAGAGCTGGGCACAGGACCATCCACAAGCAAACATTCTCCAAGATGTGCCATGAAGCAGTCTTGCCCTTGCTCCCACCCCAAGACGCTGTTTTTGCCTTTCTTGCTCTTTTTTTTTTTTTTTTTTTTTTTGATGGAGTCTTGCTCTGTTGCCCAGGCTGGAGTGCAGTGGCGTGATCTCGGTTCACTGCAACCTCTGCCTCCCAGGTTCAAGCAATTCTCCTGCCTCAGCCTCCTGAGCAGCTGGGACTACAGGTGTATGCCACCACACACAGTTAATTTTTGTAGTTTTAGTAGAGACACGGTTTCACCATATTGGCCAGGCTGGTCTCAAACTCCCGACCTCATGATCCACCTACCTCAGCCTCCCAAAGTGCTGGGATTACAGGTGTGACCCCCTGCACCTGGCCCTTTCGTGCTCTTAAGATAGTTCTCTGATCACCTAGATCTTGTTAGACTCTTAACAGGCCAAGTTCCCACAATCAGGTAAAAAGCCCCCCATCTGCAAGGTGGGTGAGTCCAGGTGACTCAACCAACACCTCTAACAGTCTGTTGTGGCAAATGGATTTTGTCCTCTGCTTTGCAGAATGTGGCCAACTCTGTCAGTGTTTGAGACACACGTCCCCCTAGGAAGCCCATATGTTACCATTTTACCTTTGAGATCAGTTTGCTTGCTGGCTTCTGTCCCAGTGCCTGGACTGCAAAAACGACCACGTCTGACCAATGACAAGCTGCTCTCTATCCACCTCCTTGGATAGATTCAAGTCTCTTTGAATCAGGACAAGCAGTGACTGGCGGGTGGGGAGACGTGTTTGAAACCCTTAGGCTCAACAGGCTGGAATGGCGAAGTCTTCTGAAAAGCAGTCTTCATCCAGCATGATGCTTCTGTGTCAACTCCTTTTCTAAATGTCTCCAAAAGCGTTCGAGAGCCATGGCTAAGGAGAGAGGTGGAGGTGACTGCAATGTCAGAGAGCCTGGTTCCCTGGGGACAGTGATGGAAAGCAGATGTCCTGGCAATTTCTGAGCAGCAGTGATTCAATTCCTGCAAACTGACGGAGTGATGAACAACAGGTTAGCGAGGGAGGCACCGGAGTAATTCCTTGCAGGTGTCCAACAGAGAGTGAGTCGTTGTTTTCAGCAAAGGAAGTGGACTCTGGGGATGTGCTGAGAGAGCAGAGGGGCAGAGCTTGGGAAAACAGGAGACAGGGCCTCGGATTCCGGGTTTGAGTCCCAAATCCCCTACCCACTAGCAACGGACAGTGGCAAAGACTGCTTCCTCATCTGTAAAATGGGTACACCACTACTACTACTACTACTACTACTACTTCCTTGCTTATTTCACAGGATTGTGGAGAGAAAGTGGGTTATAGGAAAATGTGTTGGACAAACTCATATATGATTTCTGATTTCTCCCATGGCCTCTTGGTGCTTTTGCTGTGTGTGTGAAAGAGTGTGTGTGTGTGTGTGTGTGAGAGAGAGAGAGAACGAGAGAGAGAGAGAGAGAGAACGAGAGAGAGAGTTTCCTGTGGCTGCTAACAAATTACCACAAACTTGGTAGCATAAAACATCTCTTTACACAGTTCTGGAGGTCAGGAGTCCGAAGTCAGTTTTCCCAGCAGAAATTGAGGTATGGCGCAGCTGTGCTTCCCCAGGAGGCTGTCTGGGAGAGCCTGCTCCGTGGCCTCTTGGCCCATGGCTCAGCCGCCCTCCTCTAACCCAGCAGAGGAGCATCTTGCATCAGTGGTGATATCATCGCCTTCTGAGTCGGACCTCCCTCCGCCTCCCTGTTATAAGGACCCTAGTAATTGCATTTACGGGCCCCCAAATAATCCAAGCTCCTCTCCCCATCTCAAGATCCTGAATCACGGCTGCATCTCTTTTGCCATGTAACGGCACAATCACAGGATCCAGGGATTAGAACACGCAGCTCTGGGAACCATTATTTAGCCGACCTCGCTATGCAGGAGGTGAGAGGAGGAGCCAACGTGGAGATTGGAAGGGGACAGGCTCCCGTGTTTGTGAGGAAGTGCACGGAGGCCCTTCCAGCTTTTTCATATTTCCAAGTAAATCCAACTGCTGCTCATTCAAAGTCCCTCTATGTGTATGTGGGGCAGGCCGGATGGCAGTGGGGTTGACAGGCAGATACTCAGGTCTGAACCTTACCTCAGTGCTTCTCAAAGCGGAGTCACTGGACCGGCAGCCTCGGCCTCACCTGGGAACTTGTTAGAAATGCAAAATTTTGGATTCCACCCCAGACCTCCTGGATCAGATACTCTGAGGTGGTTTAAAAAGGCCTCCAGGGGATTCTGATGCTGGCCCTTCATAGCTCAAGTTTGAGTAAGGGACCTTAGAGGAAAAGATAAGGCCTGGGATTGGATCCTGGAGCAGGGGTTCTCAGCACTGGCTGCAGATTCTAACCACTTGGGGGGGGTGGGCTTTGAAAAGTAAGCCATAAATCAGAGCCTCTGGGGATGGGGCCCAGGCAAGGAAAGCTTTTTTTTTTTTTTTAAGTTCCCAGGTGATTCTTACCTGCAATCAGCTTTTAGAGCCACTCACAGTGCACAACCCTCACCCCACGCTTTGGCCTTGTGGGGAAGAATTGGGACTCACTAAATCAGTGTTTCTTAAACTTAGGACAACATCAGAATCACCTGGAGAGTCTAAGACACAGATTCTGAGGCCCACCCCCAAGTCATTCGTGTAGTTGGTCTGGGGTAGGGCCTGAGACTTGGCATTTCTAACACATTTCAGGGTGATATTGATGCTTTCGGTCCAGGAGCCGCACTTAGAGGAATGTTGCATTCATGCATGGTTTTTATTATTATTATTATTATGCTTTAAGTTCTGGGATACATTGTGCAGAAGAAGGTTCGTTACGTAGGTATACACACCTGCCATGGTGGTTTGCTGCATCCATCAACCCGTTATCTACATTCGGTATTTCTCCTAATGTTATCCCTCCTCTAGCCCCCACCCCCCAACAGGCCCCGGTGTGTGATGTTCCCCTCCCTGTGTCCATGTGTTCTCATCGTTCAACTCCCACTTATGAGCAAGAGCATCATGCATGATTTTAATACCAACGGCCTACTCAGAATACCTTTCCCAGACCAAGTTAAAACCACAGAGCCTGAAAGCCTTAGAAATTACTTGATTTGCTTCTTTCCCCTAATTTTGTTTTTTAGGGCAAATGCCATTGGAACTTAGCGGTTGATATTATCGTGTTCATGACTTAAAGATGCAAGAAACCTTGTAGAGATGGAGTTCGAGAGGTAGTGAAGGGAGAAGGTCATTGAAAATAGGTGGGCTGGAGAAAGAAAACCAGAAATGACCCTAGACTGCCTCACAACTTTGCCAGTGTCTGGCCATAGTTTCAGAGGGCGGGGGAAGAGGGAGAGAAGCAGTAGCAGTGATTCAGCATGATGCTCTTGATTTAGTGACTAACCCTCCAATGGTCTGAGATAGCACTCAACTTTTCGTTATTAAGGTAATTTTCAGTTTGAGTCAACAATTTAAATCAGCATCTCTCCAGACGTCACCTGGTGGTCCTCTCTGCCCCTTGACAGGTAGATCCCATTGCCTTGAAATCCTCCATCCCAGGACTAGGGTTGAGCTGCCCTACTGAGGATTCCTGTTAATTCCCAAAAAACTTCAAACCTTGTAGGTCTTTATTAAATAAAATGGCTTAAAAGCTTTGACATCTTACATTCCTCTTTCTTTACCCCAATGTAAAACTCAGCCTCTTCATCAGTTTTCTATTAAGATTTTAAAAATTCACACCCACCCAGAGTTTGAATGAGTAAGGAGGCGTTGCTGAAGAAGGAAGCTTTCTCACACCCCTTCACAATTTTCCTACCACTCTCCACTTGACTTCCTGGGCCTTCCCTCTCCCACTTCTTATTTGCATTCCTCTCATGAGCAAAACTTATCCTTGTACAAAACATATTCCTCTTTTTCTCTCATATCTAGGGGATGAGGATTCGCCTTTTGCAGCAGGGAGCACGGAGGCTCAGCCTGGATTCCAGAAGCACTCATCAAAGCACATCTTCCAAATTCATTGTTAGATTTTTGATACAATTCAGAGAATTTCTGGTGAACAAAATTTTTCTTTACCTTGGCATAAATGTTAGCTGTGTTTATCCATTCCACTTTAAATAAACTTTATATTTTAAAATCGTCTTAGATGTACAGGAAGTTGCAAAGCAAACACAGAGTTTTTACAGCCCCACACCCAGTTTCCCCGATTGTCAATACCTTACATTCCTATGGCACATTTGTCACACTAACACTGACGCATACTTATTATTAATCAAGTCCAGGTTTCACTCAGATTCCCTTCATTTTTGTTTTGTTTCATTTTGTATTTTAGATGGAGTCTCGCTCTGTTGCCCAGGCTGGAGTGCAATGGTGCGATCTCAGCTCACTACAACCTTCGCCTCCTGGGTTCAAGTGGTTTTCCTGCCTCAGCCTCCTGAGTAGCTGGGATTACCGATGCCTGCCATCACGCCCAGCTAATTTTTGTATTTTTAGTAGAGATGGGGTTTCACCATGTTGGCCAGGCTAGTCTCGAACTCCTGACCTCAAGTGATCTGCCCGCTTCCGCCTCCCAAAGTGCTGGGATTATAGGCGTGAGCCACTGTGCCCGGCCCCCCCTTCGTTTTCATGTAATGTCTGTCTTCTGTCCCAGGATCCCATCCAGGATATATTATAATAAGTCGTTGTGTCTCCTTTGGCTGCTCTTGGCTCTTAGACAGTTTCTTAGACTTTGCTTGTCTTTGGTGACCTCTCCAGTTTTAAGGAGAGGTCAGGTATTTTGCAGAAGGCCCTTCAATTTACTTTTGTCTGACATGTTTCTTATGATTAGACTGGGGTTAGGATTTTGAGAGGAAGATCTCAGAAGTAACATGCCATTCTCACTGCATCACATCAAGGGTCCATACATCAGCATGACTTGTCACTATTGATGTTGGCCTTCATGACCTGGCTGAGGCAGTCTCCGTCCCAACCCTGATATTTTCCACACCCTACTCATCGGAAGGAAGTCACTAGGCACAGCCTACATTTACTTGTGGGAAGTTATGTCCCACCTCTTTGAGAAGCAAGTATCTACATAGATTATTTGAAATTCTGAATACGAGATTTGCCTATTCTACCCTGTGTATTTAGCTATTCAATCACTTATTTATCTAACTACAGACACACAGTTATTATTTTATACTTTGGGTTTATAATCCAAATTACATTATTTACTTTGTTTCTCAAATGGTTCTGGATTTGGCCGTTGGGAGCCCTTTCTGTCGGCTCCTGTGTTCTTTTGATGTAACTCCATGCTTTTGTGATTTTTAATTTGTTTTGTTTGTTTGTTTTGAGATGGAGTCTTGCTCTGTCACCCAGGCTGGAGTGCAATGGCGCTATCTAAGCTCACTGCAACCTCTGCCTCCCGAGTTCAAGCAATTCTCCCACCTCAGTCTCCCAAGTAGCTGTGATTGCAGGCATTTGCCATCACACCTGGCTAATTTTTTGTATTTTTAATAGAGACAGGGTTTCATCATGTTGGTCAGGCTGATCTTGAACTCCCGACCTCAAGTGATCCACCCGCATTGGCCTCCCAAGTGCTGGGATAACAGGCCTGAGCCACCGCACCTGGCCACATGCTTTTGTTTTCTGAGGTCCTTCTTATCTTCTGTGATTATAAGAGGTTCCAGGTTCATCTCCAGGTGCATTTCCCATCACATCCTTAAACTCAGCCATTTCTCCAAGGAGCTCTGGTTCCTTCAATGGCGTTAGAAACCAAAATTAGGGTAATGAGTGTGCTTGTTGTTACCAGGGTTCATTGAGTCTAGGCCCTCTCAGCAGACAGAATTTGGAAATATATGAGGGTGTGTCTACCTGTGTATGTACACATATCCAGAATTATTTCCATAATTATCCATCTGTATTGATGTTAAGCTAAACATGAGTCTAGACTAATGTCTCATACTGTCTCTCACAGAGCACCACATGGTTCATTCTAGGCACTTCCTTGGCTTTCTGTAACCATTTACTCCAATAGAGAGAAACCTGCATCCCACCATCCATCATCTTTTACTAATATTCTTAATCCAGGTATACATGTAGAGAAGTCTCAAAATTGTTAACCCAAAGCACATAAGAACAACTTTATCAGCTGGAGTATAGTATTTCTGTATTGTTTCTTTTGTCTTTAGTCCTGCAGGCTCCACTCATTTCCAAAGTTACTTAGGTCTGCACCTTTTCTCCTGCCACCTTCAGTGAGGTTATGCCACATTGCAATACAGTTAGATTCTTTTGCCACAGGCTAGATTCCATCCTGGGATTACCAGTCTCCTAACTGATAAATCCATAATGTCATATCTCCACAACTACAGTGTCTTATGAAATAGTTTCATGGCCATACAACAATTCTGGGTGCTTTCCCTATCCCTCCCCTCTCTTTCCCCAATCTCCTGATGAACATGAATGTGTTTTCTATCTTTATAATTCTTCCCTTACCAGAATATTACAAAATGAAATCATACAATATGCAGTCTTTTCATGATGCCTCCTTTCACTTAGCAATATGCGTTCAAGATTCATCCACATTGTTTTTTGGACTGAGGGTCCATTCCTTTTTAATTGTTAAATAGTATTCCACTGTATGGATATACCATAGATTGTTTATTCATCCACCTGTTAAAGGACATCTCAGTTGCTTCCATGTTTTGGCAATCATGGATAAAGCTGCTGTAAACATTTGAGTGCCAATTGTTGTGCAGACGTAAGTTTTCAAATCAGTCGGGTAAATACTTTGGAGTGCAATTGCTGCATTATATCGTGAGAGTATGCTTAGCTTTGTAGAAACTGTCAGACTGTCTTCCAAAGTGGCTGAACCATTTTGCTTTCCCACCAGCAGTGAATGAGGCTTCTGTTACTCCATGTCCTCACCAGAAATTGCTATTGCCAGCTACTGGGATTTTCACCATTCTAATAGGTGTATACTTGTGTCCCATTATTGTTCATTCCACTTTTAAAAATCCACTTTGGAGCATGGCCAATTTGGAAACAATTTTTCACTGGCCCTGGATTTGACATTATTTTTTTGTTTTGTTTTGTTTTGTTTTTTCTTTGAGATGGAGTCACCCAGGCTGGAGTGCAGTGGCACATGTCCTCGGCTCACTGTAACCTCCGCCTCCTGCCTCCCGGGCTCTAGCAATTCTCCTGCCTCAGCCTCCTTAGTAGCTGGGATTACAGGTGCCTGCCACAATGCCTGGCTAATTTTTTGTATTTTTAGTAGAGGCGGGGTTTCACCATGTTGGCCAGGCTGGCCTCAAACTCCTGACCTCAGGTGATCCACCCACCTCTGCCTCCCAAAGTGCTGGGATTACAGGTGTGAGCCACCATGCCCGGCTGACATTGTTTTTTTAAAGATAAGATTTTACGTGTCCTTTGCAGTGACATGGATGTAGCTGGAGGCCATTATTCTAAGCAACTTAATGCAGGAACAGAAAATCAAACACCACATGTTCTCACTTATAAGTAGGAGCTAAACCTTGGGTACTCATGGACAAAACGATAGAATAGAATAGAATACTGGGGATAATAGAATAGAAACTGGGGAAGAAAATGAGGAAGCAAGGGTTGCATTAAACAGGGCGACTCTGTCTCAAAAAAAAAAGTCTAAATATTTTTTTTAAAGAAATTTTTTCAAGGCCAAAAGTCCTAATGGATACAACAGCAACTGAATCCTCAGTGTACCTGAGTCCATGGGCTTTGTTAGTATGTAAACAGAAGTGTCCAGTTGCTTAACGCCTATAAGGAAATAATAAAGTGAACAGAATGGGGCAGAATACAAAATCAGCTTTGGTCAGAGCAAAAAATATTTTTTTCATACTTCATTAAAATAATTAGGCCAAGCATTGTGACTCACGCCTGTAATCCCAGCACTTTGGGAGACTGAGGCGGGTGGATTGCTTGAGCCCAGGAGTTTCAGACCACCCTGGACAATATGGTGAAACCCTGTCTCTACAAAAAATACAAAAATTAGCGGGGCATGCTGGCACATCCCTGTCATCCTAGCTACTTGGAGGTTCAGTCAGGAGTATTGCTTGAGCCCAGGAGGCAGAGGTTACAGTGAGCCTGAGATTATGCCATTGCACTGTAACCTGGGTGACAGAGTGAGACCCTATCTCAAAAGAATAATAATCACGGTTAAGAAACATGCAGGTAAAGAGGCAAAAACCTGTTAATGATGGGATGCATTGGGAGATGGTATGGAATTCCCACTCTTACAGCACCATTTGTTTACGAACAAAGATTCAAAGGTAAAAGTCCACCCTCCATCTCTCATGAACTATTTCACGATTACAAAGTTCCCTGCAGTGTGATGCAAGTTTTCAATGCCCTGATGCTGAGAGGCTGAGAGCAGCTGGCTGGGGGTGGAGTGGGAGGGGAAGATGAGCGGGGACTGGAAGGGACGGTCCCCGCCAATCCCACACTCATCTCTCTGAGTAAAGACGAGCCCCTAAGCCACGGGGGCCTCGGCTTGGCTAGTTGCTCGGCCAACCCATTAATACTTGACTGTTTAGTACAGGGGCCAGGACAGGGACAGTGCCACCCCAGGCCTGGACAGCACAATGCCAGGTAGTGCTTCTGCGGCACTGTGCCTGATTCACAGGCCTGATGGCTTCTCCAGGAGTCCCATCCTGAAGGCACGAGCTAGTCTATTTCAGGCAAGTTCTTCCTGTTTTCCAGCAGTCCCTGACTTACTTGGCTCCCCTCCCTCCTTCCTTACATTCCAGGCACAGATCTGTTTACACAACTGTACTTGATCTGAGAGAACAGTAGATGCCAGAAAAGGAAGCGTGAGCTCCCGCAGCTCCCCAGCGCCCCTGCCTTCTTCCTCGCCCACCCTCCCCTTCCCACTCTTTCCCCTCTCCCCTTCCTCCTCCCCTTACTCACCGTTCATAAAATCTTTGGATCAGCCACACAGTCACATTCTGCAGCTTGAATCAAGATCTCCAGTCTCAGAGGAGACACCGCTGCACCCTCTGCTGACCTAGAAAATCTCCCCATCCTTCCTGTGCATGGCGTGTCTATTTTTAAAAGCCAGGAATAATTTTCTATTCCAGAATTTTCAACTGCAGTTTTTAAAATCTACCTAAAATGACATGGATGGATCTCAAAGTATCATGTTTTATATGAAAGAAACCAGACGTTCAAAAGTACACCGTAGGATTCTATTTTATATGAAGTTCAAGAACAGGCAAAAAGAAGCCATGGTGGATAGAGGTCGGAACCGTGGTTAAACCTGGAGTGTGGGGTATTGGCTGGAAGAAACGCAATGGCACATTCTGGATGTAGGAAATGTTTCGTATCTTGATCAGGGTTGTGGTTACATGAGGGGTGTGTGTGTGTGTGTGTGTGTGTGTATGTGTGCCTAAAAAGTCATCAAGCTGTACACTACATTGTACACTTTATATCAATTATATCTCAAAGAAGAGAAGTACAGGAGAAAGTTTCCCTGAAGTGAATGGACTAAACTGTGAACACTGAGCGCAAAATAACAGATAGAAATCCCCTAGAGCCCTTCATTGAACAGAAGCCCAGAGAGGCTAAATGGCTTGCCTGCAAACACACAGCCAGTTAGGGCCAGACTCTGATAAGAGGCAACAGAATATGCTGCCTAGTTTCCTATGGCTGGGATAATTTCCTCTATCTAGGTAGTTTTCTTATTTTCAAAGGGAAGTTTTAAGGTATTTTCTTATTGGAAGGGGTTGATCAGATTCCAGCACCTTGACCCATCTAATTCCATGAGATGTAGGTCAGAGTACGCTAAACACCTCATTCTACAATCCATGGATGTCCACACCCTGCCCAAGATTTTTGCTAGGAAAATTGGACTGGTGGGGTGTGTCCGGATTTACTCCTTCTCCTGTTCATATACTATAAGGTCCCAAATCTCTGTTCTTCCCGGACAAAAAATATGTATATATATTTAAAACTTCTTCCTTGATTTCCACGTGGAGTCACAGAGCGGATATTTATCATACATTTTAATCCAGGCTTCCTAGATTTCAGATCTCGAACACCTGGGAGTCTCCGTGGAACTGATTTGCCGTGCCAGCCTCTCTTGCCTCCAGAGCTCAGGCACATCTCCCAGGGACAGAGAGATGAACTCACCGGAGACCCTGAATCAGGGGTAGTGACATTGGTGAAGGTGGTGGCAGCTACACACTGACTTCAGAGAGAGCAGTGGCAGGGCCTTAGGCAAGGTGGCCTATTTCCAGCCATAAAGTTTATCTCGTCAACTGGCTCTGGACATCTTGGAGGAGTCACTCGGCTGGTTAACCCTCAGGGGAGGTGAGGTATGGAGGGCGGGGGTGTTGATGGGAGACCAGGCAGCCACAGAGGTGGCCTTGGAGGCCCTCCTCCAAGGAGAAGATGGTGCATACTGCGGCATCTATGCTAGAAATGACCACAGTGTGGGTTCCACCGGGCCCATTCCGGGGTGATCTGGGCATGACCCTTTACCATAAAGTCTCCAGCCCAGTTCTCTGGTCCCCAGGAGTTCTTCAATCCAGCTAATATCCTTTACCAAATGCATTTGCTCCTCAACTAGCCAGAACAGGTTTCTGTTGCTTACAGTTTGGAACCTGGCAGGATGATGGTAATTCTGAATGTAATAAACCCTGCCGAAAATTTGGAGGAAACAGGATTGCTTATATCACGTCAATGCAGACAAGCAAGTTTCCATCGAACCTGAGATGTCCATGTCCTCAAACCCCTTTGGAAGCTCCGCCAGGCACTTCTCCCCCATCACGCACCCTCACCCTGCCCTGAAAAGGCCCCAGGCTCACCAGATCAGATCAGCTCCTTTCACTGTTTCCTCCCTTTCAGAAGCAAAGCAAAATTTCTCTCGTTTTCTCCAGCCAGAGTGCCTGGGCCACCTCTGGGGCTGCCTGGTCTCCCACCATCTCCCATGCCCTCTGTAGCTCACCTTCCCTTAGCAGTTAACCAGGAGAGTTGGTTCTCCAAGAAGGCTGGAGCCAGCTAGTGAGATGATAACTCTCATGACAGGAAATCGGTCACCGAGGTGTGAGCAGAGGTGTGGCCATACGGTGGTATGCCTTCTGTCCCCTTGTGTGGCAAGCCTAGAGGCCAAGTGACGACGGAGGCGCAAAAGATGGTAGGAGCCAAGGTCCAAGTCACATCTGTAAGGAGAGCCATGACTCCTCTTTTGACCAGGACAGACAAAGAAAAAAACCTTTCACTGTGTTGTTGGAGAGATTCAGACGTTGAAGGTGGCCATGTTTAGCCTTCCTGGGTAGTACACTAAATAAAGAAACGCTAGTCACATCCAGTGACCCATGGGGCATATACGTTGGTTGCTGAAACACTGAAAATGTATTTTCTGTTTTAAAAAATGTTTATTTATTTATTTTTATTTTAATACGATTCAGGAGTACAAGTGCAGTTTTGTTACATGAATATATTGCGTGATGCTGAGGTTTGAACTTCTAGTGTACTCATCACCCAAACAGTGAACACTGTACTCGATAGGTAAGTTTTAAACTCTCACCCCCCGACCCTCCCCACTTTTAGAATCTCCAGTGCCTATTATTCCACTCTGTGTATCCATGTGTACCATTGTTTAGTTCCCACTTATAAGTGAGAACATGCAGTATTTGATTTTGTGTCTCTGAGTTATTTCACTAAGGGTAATGGCCTTCAGCTCCATCCATTGTTGCTGCAAAAGACAGGATTTCATTATTTTTATGGTTACATAGTATATTCCATGGTGTATATATACCACATTTTCTCTTTCTTTTCTTTTCTTTTTTTTTTTTTTTTTGAGATGGAATCTCGCTCTGTCGCCCAGCATAGAGTGCAATGGTGAGGTCTCCGCTCACTGCAACCTCCGTCTCCTGGGTTCAATCGATTCTCCTGTCTCAGCTTCCTGAGTAGCTGGGACTACAGACATGTGCCACCACACCCGGCTAATTTTTGTATTTTTAGTAGAGACGGGGTTTCACTATGTTGGCCAGTCTGGTCTTGAACTCCTGACCTCAGGTGATCCGCCCACCTTGGCCTCCCAAAGTGCTGGGATTACAGGTGTGAGCCACCGCACATGGCCTATACCACATTTTCTTTATGCAGTCATCCACTGTGGGACACTTAGGTTGGTACCATGGTTTGCTGTTGTGAATAGTACTGTGATAAATGTACGATTGCAAGTGTCGTTTTCATATAATGATTTATGTTCCTTTGGGCAAATACTGAGTAGTGGTATTGCTGGATTGAATGGTAGTTCTATTTTTAGTTCTTTAGGGAATCTCCATAGTGTGAAAAAATGTATTTTCTCATATAAAAACAGGGTCCCCATGGCCAGGTATGAGAAGTATGCTGGTGACATGGGAGATCAGAGTGGGGCAGCGCTGAAGGATGCTCCTTCGATGCCCAGCAGCCACGTGCCTCTTCCATTTCCCATGACCTCTGCTCTTTGGCAGGTCTCTCTGTCAGTCACTTCCAACTTGTTGTAACTTTTAAAAATGTGTTGTGAGTCCTTAGGTCTTGCATTTCATCCTTATCTCTCTTCAGGGAATTAAAGCACTTGGCTTTGGGGATTATGGGTTTCAGAAAGGAATTGAGGGGAGGTCCTTTGAGGAATACAACATCTTTTCTGCCTCGACAACACTCAGATGACCCATGTAGGGTAAGTTGACTGTGGCTGTGAACCCATCACAATGTACACAGGAATGAGACCGATTCCTAAACCAATGATTTTTGTGGAACTTGGGAGTTCATTTCGCCCAGCCTCTCTTCCTTCCAGGACGGGATTCCCCTCCCAGTGTGCTAATAGTCACAATTTGAGGCCGAGTTAGGTCATCTTGCAATGCTGAGGACCTTTCCACACCCAGGGTGACCTCTCCCATGGCTGGACAATGGTAATTTGGAAATTTCTCCTAGTTTTATCCCCAAGCCCAACCTTCTGTAACTCACTGACTTAGTTCTACTATCATAAAACATTAGAGCCCCACCTGTCACCCACTTAACCACATCCTTCTGTGTCCTAATCGCCTTTCTATTTCATGTCTGTTTCCAACCTTTCTTTTCTCTTTACTCTGATTTTACTATCTAGCTGCTGGGATTTCATTTGGTCTTGTTGGGTCATATGAATCTTTGTAAGTTGCTGTCGATCCTTTTTGAAATAAAACAGGTTAAAGGAAAAGAAAAAGAAAGGAAATGCCCCCATGAGATACACAGAATAAGTCAAAGCTTTTTTTCACCTCAACCTGTCAAATATTTGAAGGCAGCTGGCCAATATCCCATTGGGCCTCCTCTCCTAAAGACACACATTGTGAATGTGTTCAGTCCTTCCACACATTAGAAGGTTTCCAGATTCTTCTCCATCGCAGGTTGGCCTCCTCCAGGGCTTCTCTGGTTAGCTAACGAGCTCCATTAAAATTCCTGGTGGGACTGAGGCCTGCTGAGACCTCATGTGAGGGGACGTGGGCAGTCCTGGTATTTCCTGCATGCCTGACCTTGTGCATCTGATACCAGGCTTCAGAGTGGGGACAGCTTCACCACCACTTGCTGCTGCAATGTACTTGAGTCCTCACAGAAACTTGTGTCCACAGCTCTTTTTCTGACTACACAGGAATGCTTCCTTTATTATCTTAAATCAGCTTCTCAAACATTTGAAACCAATAGTCCCCTTTTCACATACCTAAAATTCTTATGCCTCCTTTTAATGTTATTTTAAGTTTCCAAGAGGTGTTTTTTTAATACAAAGTTATAATATTGTACATCCTCCTATGCATCCTCCCTCCATCTGCAGGGTGTCGCCTCCTCTGAGAAGCACTAGAGTCATATCTTCATCTTTCTGACCAAATGTGCCATCATCCTGCTGGATCACCCACCTTCACTAGGGCTCTAAAGAGCTTTTGGTTGGTTCCAAAAATAAAAACATTCCCAAGGATGAATATTTGTTAATACTGGGAATTACCCCCCAAAATACCAGGCAGAGTCTAAACTCAATGTCCCGAAAGCAGTGGACTGGAATAAATGCTCAGACTCTCAGAGCGCCTATCCGAAGGGGATCACACTCATTTCTCAGGAAAAAAAAAAAAAAAAGGTGGACCACATTATTACTTTCTAGTCACATTTTTTAATTCAGGCCCACACATGAGATCTTCCCCAGGGCAGAATTCTGCAAGGGAAAAGAGGTGACACCTCTGTGAACAAGAAAATGCTTTTCCCTGGTGCCTAGGGGGACATATGCTCAGTATTTCTAATTTCTGAAATTCAAAGCAGTGAATAGTGGTTTCTCACAAAGTTAAAGGCAGGATTTCAAATCTGGTTTAGATCTCATTTGGAGCCAGAGGAGGTTGAGAAAGAAAGAAAACAAGAAAGGAGGAGAGATGGAAGCAGAGAGAGAGAAA